CCTTGGGCTTATTAAACCTTGATGCAGCTTTTTAATGTCTGTAAATACCTGCTTACTACCAAATATCGCCATTTCCTACTAAGAGGGTTTTTATGTGTAACTCAGCTGTATATTTTTTTTTCCTGCCCAGGAATGATCCATAATAAACACAGAGGACTAAGTGGGTGGATTCTAGAGCAAATAATTACATGTTTTGCCTTTCAGATACTGATTTGAGGGAGGTAAAACAAACCCCCTGGAAAAGTTCAGATGTTTGTGGTTAAATATTTCAAGATTTATCAAAAGGCAAAGATAAGCTTGGCTCCCTCGTGGGTCCAGAAAATGGGTGGAATAAACTCCAGACCTTCAAAATAAAATAAAAATACATCGTTCACCAGTGTTTCCTAAGAGGATTTTTCTCTCCATTTTGTGTCTTTGGGCTCTAAGGGGAAAAAATATTTGGGGAATTTGAAACCTATTTGTTATCCACGGAAAAAAAGAGGCAAGGAATTGGCTGCCTCAACCAGCACAAAGTCAGTTCATCACTGGTCTGAGGCCAGCTGGAATTAGATGGAGGAGGGGGGTCCTAATCATCAGTATTTACAATATTTACTGTTACACTTGAGGGCAAATCAAAATCCAAAGCCACAAGCTAAGTGGCAGGCCCCCCAAAATGAAGATGTAGATTCTTCAGAAATCCTGTTTCTGATCATCTGCAGGCAGGGAACTGAGCAAGGTCCTGCTGTAAAACAATCCTCGGTGTTGTTTTGAAAGGTATAACCAGTTTCACCACACCAGCCAGTGAAGCTCTAATTTTTCAGAAACTCTAATTTCCCTCTGCTGGAGGAAAAAAAAAAAATTCAAGATCAACCAGAAGATAAAGGCGGCTGTCACAGGCCTCCAAAAATATCCTGCAAAAATATTTTGAAATGGCCTTTTTTGTTTGGTTTAAATATACATATATTTTAAACAAATTGCAATTTAACTGGAAATTAGACGTGTGGACTAGTTAATTGTCAAATTATTCAATAAAAAGGCCTTTCTGTGCCCACTCTAAAAGATTTTCTACAATCAGCATCACTCTGCTCTCAGCTTGTATTGGCTGGGGCTCTGTGAGAGCACTTGTTGAAAATACAGTGTGGGATTATAACTCGCAGAATTTACTTCTCCCTGACCAATCTCATTCTTGTTGATGTCAGTGGCAAAATTCCCAGTGATTTCCAGAGGAGCAGGAACAAGAACTCATTTAGAGCCCTGGGAAGCTTGCAGGAATATCCCAGTGTTAATGTATTAATATCCTAGTGAGTTAATATTAATGTTAACGTTACTTAGAGCAAAATTATCCCCTCAAAAATAGAATATTGACACAACAGCAAGAACTGATTGGATGATAAATCAGTATGAGGAAAGAGGAGGGAGGGGGAATCACTGCCTTATTTAGCTGGGGGGGGTCTTATTTACATAAATAAAACCCTGTACCCTGTGAAATTGTGTGTTTTGAGAGTCTAAAACATGCCCTTAAATTTCACATCTCTCGGTCCTTTCCAGGAGGCAGCTCATTTATTTATAAATACCAAACTTCCAAGGATACAGCTCGTTTGTTTATAAGCATCTACTGAAGGGAAAGGTTTGGGATTTTGCTCGTGAAACTTGAACTTCCAAAAGCAACGTGACCAAATCCTCCAGTTTTCCTCTTGGAAAACTGAGGGGTTACAGATATTTCCATGCACGTGGAATTCAGTCAGTGCAGATGGCCAGGAGGGATAAACAGGACCAAAGCCTGTGTGATGCTCTCAGTCCCCTCTCCTTGAGTGTGGCAAAGTCTCTTTAGTGTCCCACTGATCCCATAGTTCTTTAAATGGGATAATACTGAGACCTGGGAGATCTGATGACTTGATATCCCTCCGAAAAAAAGAGCTGAGGAAGTTTCCTCCTCACATTTTTAAAGCTGGCGTGAAAAAAAAAATACCTACACTGAGTATTTATTTTCAAAACTACTTTTTCTAAAGATGTTAGAGAAACGGGGGCTTGGAAATGGTGTTTATGAGTTTATATATTTGCTTTTTCTCGCTCTTCAGAGTTCTGTTTTCTCCCCCGGCTACTAATTCAAATATCACGGCTGTAAACACAACATTCAAAGAGCTCCACATTTTTTCAATTAAAAATATTAGTTACTACCAAGGTTAAGCACACATGTAATCCCCACCAGTCAAGCCCCCTCCCTGTTTATTGAAATAACCACAGGGCATATTCCCCAGGTATTCTCAGAACATCCTGCTCTCCCTCACCTTCGTCTCCTCATTCTTCTTCCCTCTTCTATTTAGCCTTTATTTCACTCTGCTTAGCTCTGATAAGTGTTTGACACACTGAATTTGTGATGAAACACTTCTGTTTCTTGCAAGTCTCATCCAGGGCCCGGTGAAATCAACTGGGAATTTTTCTGCTGGCTTTCAGCAAGCTTTGGGTCAGGTGCTACCAAGGAATTTCTGTAATACATTTACAGACAAAGGTATGGAAACTTGCCCTCTGCAATAAATTCGGGCTGGTTGCCCTTGTGCCTATCCCAAGAAGGCCAAAAAAAAAAAAAGGAAAAATTAGAAATGTCCATCTAAGAAGAAAAAACAATAAAAAACCCTTATGCTCCTTGTGCAGAACAGTAGTAAACCGAGTTTTATGAGTTCTATCACGACCATATAAAACGCTTTACTGAAAAGACCACTGAGCTGGAAAAACTCAGGCAAAACTACCCTGAATTCCATGTGAGCACTCATAAATCTGCCCCCCTTTTCTTTCCTTTTTTTTTTTTTTTTTTTTTTATTTTTTTTTTCTTTTTCCTAAAGCACATTTACCATAAAACTCGTGTTCCACATCAGATTTCCTCTCCATTTCATAGCGAGCCTCAATATCTTACACAATCTAAAACTTACAGACTCGAGTTCTGAGCTTTATTTCAGAGTGATTGAGTTACCACGGCAGGCAGGAGGGTTGGGTTTCAAGCCCTGTATAGATCTGCAATTTGCAATATCATATTATTTATTGCCCTCCTTAAAAGGTAATGAGGAGTAAAATACAATGAACAAGAAAAGATATAAAGACAGTCGTGGTGTGGCTGTGAGCAAAGGGAACTTGGATATTTTACTGAGGGCACTTTCAGAGGAAAAAAGCCAAACCTTGAAATACCCCTAAAAAAAATGATATTATATAATGGCAGGATACCAGTGTTAGGTTCAAAATTTTTATTTAACAGCTGATTTAACACATCACTCATACCTGAGACAAGCCAAGATGCACAGATGCTGTTTCAGAGATGTACATTATTTTGCCATCTGATGCTACCACGAAAACAAAGCCATCCAAAGTCTGAAATAAAGGGAAAGATGGAGGGTAAGAGACAAGCACCCTGGTTAAAGCATTTACAGCGACAATAAAAGAAAACAAAGGAAGATTTCCATCAAGAGCAGCAAAATTAAAGGAATGGAAACCTTTCCCTGATGCTGCTCCTTCAAACATTGGTTGTGAGACCCAACTCATTCCCCCACAGGCACAGCTTTACTGCTGCACTTCCAGTGAACATTCTCCTGTTGATTCAGGCTATTTTAGTGCTTAGCACAAATCCTGAGCTATGTGGTGCTTAGGGGGAAGTCCAACACTACGTGAGCCATTTTTTATGGCATAATTGGCAGACACAGCCCGCTGCTGTTTGCAACATATTTCGTGGTGCTGCAAGCAAAGCTTTAAGCCTGACTGTATTTTCCAAAGTGTGTTTCTGAACAAGAGCTGTCTGCTCCCTGACTACGTGAACTTCCAAAAAGGAAGCAGAGTAAATCAGCTTTCAAAACTTTATCACACTTGAAGAGAGGTATTTGTGCTGATGAAGTTATATCCTTGCAGTCTGGGCACGTTGACCAGTGGAATATTCAATGAATCCAACCCAATCCTACAAATTCTTATTGACGGGATATTGGCTGGAAGGTAAATATTGCTTGTGTGAGCAAAAAGTGAAGTTTAATTTAAGAAAAAGAAAAGTGATGGCAAGTGGTGCAGCTCAACCAAAATGACCATGATTTGGACACATTAACTCTCAGTTTGGGGAGACTTTGATTTTTTAGTGCCCAATTTGAGACGTTTTTTCAAAAGTATCTGATATTCTCAGTCAAACAGTCTCCACTGGTGTAGAAAGCTTTGATCAGCACATACGTATGAACGTCACAGGAAAATACATTTGGAAGAGAAAAATCATTTTTACAGCTCGCAGATAAAAGACCCACCTATTTTAATTCATTTGAAGTTACTGAACCAGAAGAGAAGCAATAAAACCCTGTATGCTTCTTGCTCTTATAGTGCCACCCCAATAAGAAAATATCCCAAATTATTCCCTGGCCTACTAACGATTCTACAGCATGTAATTGAAACCAGATTACTCTTTGCCTTTATTTTTCCCCCCCCTTTTTTTTTTTTGAACATAAATTAAATTTTGGTGAAGCATCATAATGGGAAACAAATTACTGAACCCTTAGCCATAACTTTGTTTTTAAACACTGTCATCTTGCAATGGCTCTACCCAGTGTCACAACTAAACCAGTGTCAGTGCTGCTGTCACTGCACCATGTGGTGCAGCAGGTCCCAAAATTTCCTGTGCAGAAAAGCACACTGAAGCTGAAACTTCACATGGAAAGTTTCATTCTAAGAATGAAATGAAAAGGGTGGGAAATAAAATAAAAAGGTTTACAGTAAACGTGGGTTTATTAAAATGTGAAGAATACGTCACCCAGCAATAACTGAACTGTAAAATGGGTGTCACAGGTGAACAGCACATAATTAATTATAAGTTCAATTAATGCCAGACAAAACGTGGAATAGCCAGCAGGGAGGAGGAGCAAGTGTAACAATGGTTTGTATGACCAGATATGTATTTTAATCTATATGTTATATTATGCATATATAATAATATACATAACTAGATATATATTTCCTAGGTGTACTGGTGAAGCTGGAACATCTGGGAGGGCATCACCTACTTAGAACAAAATTTCCAAGGCTAGAAACGCCTCCCCAGGAGATCATTCTGAGCTCTATCCATCCCCATTCCCTGTACGTGGCCAGCACCTCACCCTTCCAATCAGCCTCCCCAAAACACTCTCCCTCTTCCCCGCAGGAGGGATGTTTTGCAGGGGCCAGGGTGGCAAATAAATAACCGCGAGCATCATTCCCAAAGTCGGGGGACCCGGAGCAGCATTCCCGGCTCTCCCACCCTGCCACAGCTGGGGACAAGGACACAATGGGCTGGGCAGACCCAGGGAGCCCGAACAGAGTTTTTCTGTCGAGGTTTTTTTTTATCCCCCAGCCTAGCGAACGGTTAAAAACAGCTCCAGCTCTGTGACCAGGAATTAACCTCCCACAATAAACCCGGCCGTTAAATGATTACGGTTTGCCGGCTCTTTAAAATCGGGGCAGAAAAAAAAACAAACACCAGCGCTGCATTAAGTTCACATATATTAAAAAAAAAAAAAAAAAAAAAAAAAAAAAATAAAAAATATGGAGCTAAACGCAATTTTTTTTTCCTTCCCCCTCCTGCTGGAATGCTCGCCCCAGCTACGACTTCCTAAACTCTCCCGGAGTTCAGAGGAATTCCAGAGCAGATCAACGGGATTGTGAACAACGGTATTTTCAGGTGCTAACGTCCACGGGAGATCCGATCCAGGTGTTTCCCTCCCTCTGGAGCCCTGCGCTCCCTTCCAGGTTTCCCCTCCCGAAATTCCCGGTGTCCGGCGCCCCTCCAGACAAACCCCGTCGGCGCTGGCCGGGACCTGCCTGGAGACATTCCCAGCAGATTTGAGGTGCCTGATTAACACTTTTGGGGCTGGGAGACACTTTACGTTCACGGAGGAGTGGGTTCTGCTAACATCAAAAGTAGTAGTAGTAGTAATAATAATAATAATAATAATAATAATAATAATAATAACAGAAGTGGTCGGTGTCTCGGTTTTCCTCTCCCCCCAGCCCAGAAAAGCTCGGGAATAATATGAAGGCTTCACCCAGGCTCTTGTGGCGGTGCGGGGGTGAGGAACAAGCGGAGGAGGAGGAGGAGGGGTGGGAGGCAGATCCCACCACCACACCAGGTTCCCGGTGCGCGGCGCGTACGGGAGGAGGGAGGCGTCCACTACCTGAAGCAAGTGGGATCCGAGCTCCATGGCCACGTTATCCAAGGGCCCTATCCTGCTCGGCTGTCCCCAGGCGTCGCCCAGACCTGCAAGGGAAGCAAGGAGCTGGTTAGAGCGAGGAGCCCGTCCCTCAGCCCCGTCGGGACTGCGCTGTCCCCAGTCCACCCGCTCCCCCCATTCCCCCGCCGTCCAGGCAGCGACGGGGGGGATTAAGAAGGTTGGTAGGGCTGAATCCCTTCTCCACGCACACGTGGGAAGGGAATTGCTCTTTTTCCGGGCAAGGGCACCCCTTCGGACGCCCTTTCTCCCTCCCCGGAGAGCCCTCGGTCCCCAGGGAGGCGACGGCCCCCACCGCTTCCCATCGTCCTTCCAGCAGCACCGTGCCCGTCCCTCCTCCCCGCGGCGTTATGACCGGCGACCCCCACGCTGGCCAAGGCGAGTCCCGGCTGGGGAAGGGGCTGAGGAGATCAAAGGGGTCGGAGAGAAACTGCCCCGACGGGCCCTTCACCTGCGCACGGACGGGACCGACCCATTGGCACAACTTCGCCCCCACGGCCCCGTCCAGCCCCGGCCCCTCTGACCCCACAGCCCGACCCGATTAGGGGGAGCCCGGAGCCCGGCACAGCCTCGGTGACAGCGAAAAGTCATTGATGGAGCTGGTTTGGGAGCGCTTGGGGCGAGGAGAGGGGCTGGGACGGGGCTGGGTTTTTTTGTTGGTTGGCCGGGTTTTTGTTTGTTTTTCATTTCCTCCGTGCAAAGAAGGCTTACACCAGCTCCCCGCTGGAGCTGAGACCACCATCCAGCGAAATGAATTAACTAGTTTAGGAGGTTCACAGAGGGCCAGCCGAAGAGCTGGGCACTCACGTTGGCACCTGATGGCAGACGTGCCACTGCCCGCAAAAAGGCGCACAGATGGAGGGGAAGGGAGGGACGCGACCACGTCCTTTTAGTGCCTCCTTTTTTGGGGAAAAAGAACAGCACGGCTGCTGCGAGGCCACGGAGCCCTCAGGGCGCTGCGGAAGAGGGTGAGAGAGAGGAATTCGGTGATGCCAGCCCGGCGGGACCGTGAATTCCACGGTCGCCCGGGGGGTCCCGTCTGGAGCATCGCACACGCGTGCGATGGATGCGCAGCCCTGCGCCCCTCAGCCCTGGGCCCCTCGGCCCTGCGCCCCTCAGCCTTCAGGGCCGCTTCAAACCCATGTGTCGCCCCGAAACGGAGCGCCGTGCTTTCCTCCCGTGCCCTCTCGCCGCCCAGGGGCTTCCAAAGAAACCTCCCCTCAGCCACTGGCGGGGGCAAAGGCGGCTGCGGCGGGATCCCAGCAGAATTTGGCACCCGGGCAGAAATCCCTGCGTGATTCCGAACGCGCCTCCTGAAGCCCTCACGGACCCGCGTGTGCTTTGGCCACTTAGACCTGGTCTAGAAATGATGGGAGGCTTTCTCTCCGCTCTCGGGGCGTCCCTTGGGATGGACAGGATCTCCCGCTGGAGGAACATGGGGAGGATGCACCGCAAAGCTGTGCTTCCCCCCGAGTTTTGCCGCCCTTCCCTGTGTCAGCAGAGCCTGGTCCCGTGTCCCGCTCCCTCCGGGCAAGCACAAAGGAGCCTCTGAAGCCACGCAGGGAACCCCAGGGGACCTTGGCCGGCCCTGACACCTCCGCTCCGCCGTCTCAAGGCAGTAGCAACACCCAGGGTCATTCCCAAAAAGTGGCGTCTGCATCCCCATCCCGTGTCGGCGGATCTCTCCAAACCCCCGGAGTTCTCAGTGTGTGGCTGCGCTTCCCTGTGGGCAGGGGAAGGACACCTTCCCTCTGCACTGGGAAATTTGCTTGGAAGAGCCAAACGAAAACTCGCGCTTTTCTACGGCGTTTCCCAATTCTCCTTCAGCAGAAGGCTCCCGAATTTTCAGAGACGCGTCAAAACGTTCTTTGTGCTGAAAAGCTGCTTCCTCTGGGGAGGAAAGTTTGGGGATCGCAGAGTCATCCTGCGGTTTCTTTCCCGAGACTGTAACAAATACAAACGACAGAGCCTGTCCAGGTGCCCTTATTTCGATTTACTAATTACCAATCACAAAGCACGGGGTTGCAATACTGAAAAAGGGGGTCACACCTGATGAAATAAAAGCTGTCCGGAGACGAGCTCTCCCTTTCCCATGGACGAAGCAGATTTATTCCTTTGGCCACTCACGAAGCTCACCGAGAACGAGCCGTGTTTCTGCCTCACACGCGCGTGGCAATTCCCTGCGTCCTGTCCGTCACGGCAGGACAGGTACCATTTCACAGCATCCCCCCAAACCTGCGCTAGTTTTGAGGTTCTTTCCTAGCCCGGACTAAAAAACAAAAAAAAAAAAAAAAAAAGAGTCACTTCGGAATTTTAAATTGGAGTTGCGATTGCGAACTCGCATCAAACGTAAACACGTTGGGTGGATCAGCCTGGCATTCGTCTGAGCTTATTTTAGAGCCCACGATTTTATCATTTAATCCACCCAGCAGATCTCTTTAAAGGTGGAAACGAAACGAATAAAACCTGACGTTTAAATAAAGGGCTGACGCCCATTAACTCGTCTTCCGAGAGATTTGCAAACGCGCCGCGTTGCGTCCTGTAAACATATGGATGCAATAGACTCCTGCCCAGCCAGTAAATAACGCACATTTTCGCTCACTGGCCTGGAGCGAGGCCAAAATTGCTGCCGATACACAGCGAGCCTTTCCCACATCGCTCCATCTCGGGGGGACTTTGCTGGGCTGGCCCCGGCCGGGAGGGGACCCCCGTCGGGGCGGGCTGCCGGGGGTCCGACACGGCTTTGCGACCCGCGCCGCGCATTCGTTTCGGAGGAAATGTTTAAAAATGCCCCAGCGCAGCACGAATTAAGCGCTGCCCCGGCCCAGAGAGCGATTTTCCTGCAAGCGAGCGGCCGGAGCATCCTTCCTGCCAATGCTGGGAACACGCGCGGGGGTGGCTTGGCCCCAGGGTGCAACCCCTTTACGGTGCTAGAAGGGTAAGGGATCGCCTAAATCCAGCGGCTTGGGGCGATTCCGGGCGCTGCCGGCAGAGAAAAGCCGGGAAAGCCTAAGCCGGGCTCAGCGGCAGAGCCGGCGGGGCTGGCACGGCCGGGGGAGGGTGACTCGCCAGTTCCAGTCTCAGCCTTCTCTTTCCTGGCATCCCGCCGGCGGCAAACATGGATGAGAGGAGCCTCTCTCCCTCTGTACCCTGCTTTTACTGGTGTCTGTCCCCACCGGGACCAGGGCCGTGCCGGGAGGGCAGGACGGGCACAGTGGGATGCCTGACAGGGGAAATAACCGGCCCTAAACGCGGTTGTGCCCGTCAGCCCCCTCCAGGCGGCAGGTTCGACTCCGACAACGCCGTCCCGGACACAGAGAGGGGGGTTTGCCCCAACACCCCAAAGTTCGTGCTGCTTTTGCCGTTGAAAGACGAGGGTTCTCACACGAACGCGCCCCCCTCCCTTTGGCAAACCCGGGCACGATCCCCCCTCCACCCCCTCCGTCTTTTGCCACCTCTGGCTCTTTTTCAAAATAACCTCAACATTCACTTTGTACCATTTCCCAGTTTCCAGGGAAGGAGGCAGCGTGAGTTTAACTGTAATAAGAGCTAGAAATACTTGGGAACAACTCCCACCTTTGCTCTCCGCATACATAAATTCGTGCGCGCACACATTTGAAAGCCCGGTAGCTTTCCTGCTCGGGATTCTGTTAAAAGAATTACTTCTCGATGTATTATGTTAAGTATCGGGTTGCCCTGTAACTTGGAGTATTTCCTTTGTGTCTGCTGGGCTGTTCCCCGGCTCCCCCCGCCTTATTCAATCGCCATCCTTCACAGGGAGCCTTGGGTCAACTACAAGCTCCGGGGGTTCGCCGCCTCTCCTGGGTTTTGGGGTTTATTTTTTCCCCAGCGCGGTTGTGCCTCGCTGGGCCGGGAAAGAAGAATCGCTGCGGGGGCGGCCCTTAGTTTATATCGAGCTTTGTCTCCCTCTTTTAGTCGAGGTCCAGGGTTGGATTGGGCTCTCGTGTCATCCCGTGGTGTGGGGGACACAGATGACACTTTGCTTTAAGCAGCGGGGCGCGAGGTATCTCAGCCCCGACGGCACTGAGGGTAGCACCGCTGGACCCGAGGGGCCGGGACGGCTCTGGAGCCGACAGGAATCGGTTGGAATTCCGGCGGGAGCAACCTCTGCTCGCAGAGGGGAAGCTCCCAGGTCGGGGTGGCTTTGGGAAGGAGAAGGGCTGGTTTAGTCTAAGCTCGGCAGGGATGTGCCGGGCGCTCTGCGGGCATCAGTGTCACCGGCTGGGAAGGCGCCCGAGGGTTGGGACGGTGGGAACGGCGGACGTCAAGATCAGGACTTTAATTTCTTTTTTTTTTTTTTTTTTTTTAAGGAACAAAAAAAAAAGGTCAAGTCCAAGGTAAAAAAAAAAATTAAAAAAAAAAAAGAAAGAAGAAAAACAAAACAAAACAAACCCAAACACAACAAAACTGCTCTCCAGGACGCCCGGACGATCCCAAACCCGGCTCTTCCCGCCGAGCCAAAAACGTCAGATCGTGATAACAGGCCCCAGAGCGGGGGTACTACAGACAGCGACGTCCCGGGCGGACCCGCAGGTCCCACGGCAGTGACCCCCGCCCTCCCTCCTGCCCTCCCTCCTGTCCTCCCTCCTTCCCTCCTCGCCGGGAAGGAGAGGTCGGACCGACCCCGCCGCCCGTCCCCGCAGGGCCGCCGGTTCCTGCCGCCCGGGGACGGCCGCGCAGCTCCGGGGAAGCCCTAAAAAAGCACTTTTGTTTTAGTAAGACCTTTAATGTCACTATTAGCCGTTAGTGCAATAGACGCTCGCTTTCGAAAAGGGATCGCTCACTCCTCGGGCTTTATTTATTTATTTAATTCATTAACGAACCTCTTCATAGCGGGTATGAAAATCAGACGAAACAGCTGCGATTCGCCTCGATTTTCCTAAAATATACATTCATGAGTTAAATGAGAACAGAAAACTCTGTATGTTCCTAATAATTTTTATTGTCTGCGTCTCGGAATACGAAAAGTCTAAGATCTACCGCTCAGTCACTTTATTCAGATTATTTTGTATAGCGCAAATTATCTTTTGGGTCACATATTAATTAGCTCTCTCTCGTCCGGTTTAAACAACCATAATGTCCGATTTTATAATCAGTTTTGGATACTGCGTCGGGGGTGGGGGAGGGAGAGGGTGACTATTTAACCAGTCTACCATAACCAGAGGGCAGAGAATCGCAGATTTTAAACGCGAGTTATTCTCGCCTCTTTCTTTCATTAACTCATTTTCAGGGGGGGAAAAAAAAAAGATAAAAATGCTGACAGTCAAGACAGAAGAAATTCCGTGGTGTATTTTTGTTCTACAGCAACAAATGTCTTAGCAAAAAAAAAAAAAAAAATAGAAAAAAACCAAAACCCGAGAGAAGACGGTGTCGCAGAGCGGGAGCGCGGGGGAGGCTGTAGGTTGTGTCTCCTGACTTTAACTCCTCAATCTCAAGGTCGGAGCGACACCGCAGGGCACAAAGTGTGATATCAGAGCACGAAATTGTGCCTTGCCAGTCTCGCACTCTGAGGGGTGAAAGGAGCTGGGGTAGAAATCCCCTTTCTCTCTCGCTCCTTGGAGTCCGACCGGGCGCCTCTGCGGGAGGATCTGAGAGTGCATCTTCTGGAAAAGCCTGGCCGGGGTGAGCAGGAGACCTGCCTGCACCATTTTACAAGCCCTGTCGAAGCGCTGGGATCTATCACCTCGCTGAGGGGCTCAAAATTTTCCTAAATTATGTTTCAGCTCGCTCTGGAAATAAGGGGGAAAGCCATCGAGGTTTTTAAAAGCACAGCCCTCTCTCTCTCTCTCTCTCTCTCTTTCCCTCCAGTCTAGACAGAGCTGGAAACCGGGTTTGTAGCTGGACAACGTTTCTGATGGCTCTGACCTCAGCTAATCCGGGCCTAGCACACAAGCTGGTGGCCTCTCAAGCCTGTCCCCCCCACTCTGACACCCCCTTAAGCCTTACAGGGGTGATGTCACGGTGAGGGTCGGGGTGCCCCCACTCTTGGGGGCAATTCCTGTGGGATCGCGGGCACCGCGGCTCCACTGCCCCGGGAGCAGAGGCCCAGGGGGAGCTTGTTACGTGCCCACCTTTATTTCAAGCCCCAGAACCTCGGTGCCCCCCACCCATGGGGTCCAGCGCTCTCAAAGGGGCTCTTTCCCCAGGTCTCAGTGCCCCAGGATTCAAGACGTTGTACCTAGAAGTCTTTCCGGGCTGTCGAACTCCCCGTTCCACCTCCCAGTAAAGCCAACTGGAAACCAGTAGCCGCGTATGAGGAGGGGAGGGACGACGGATGGACGGACGAATGGTGACCCCTCTCCCCTCCTTGCACAGGCAAATCCCGAGGGAGAGGGAAGTTGGGGTGACGCGGGACTCTGCCATCGAGCAGCCACCCCAAAAAGCACCCTATTCCAGCCCTTGGGGTGCGGGCACTGCCCGCAGCCTCCTTTCCCCGCCTCCCCCTTCTCCCCTCCACCCTCCCAGGCACTAAACGCTCGGCTCGGGGACCGGAGGCGCTTATTCCCCCGGCCTGTCATCCCTGGATGCAAAGCTTTGGTTTTAAATGTATTTCCACCCGTAGTTAAGACGATGAAAGATCAGGAATTCGCTGTATGCATTTAAACGTTGCCCTTAATAAGCAGAGTGTGCGGAAGCGCACGCCCGGCCTGTTTAAGGAAGACAGACACATAAAACACACCCGAGCCGTGGGTATAAACCTGCTCTCGGGGTCGTCTCGTTGCTCTTGAGGATCAGTAGGGCTGGAAAAGCCGGGACACATCCAGCAGCGTCTCGAAACGTGCCACTTTTCTTCCCTCTTAAATCAAAGGCGTTCGGGGGCACGTTCCCCGGGGCAGGGCCGGCGAGCGACCCCCCGAAATTACGACGCTCTGTTTCTCATCGGGAAATTTCCCGATGGGGGATAATGGCTGGAAAATTCAGCGGAGCAGCGCCTCGCTTCCCTTTGCTCCGCTAGCTCGGCGTGCCTCGGGAGCGCACGCTGAAGGAGCCCTGGCTTTCCCTAGCACGGCTAGTCCTTGCTCCCGAAATTTCTGAATTAGATGGCCATAACGGTAAGCTTTGCTCGGGTTGGGAGGGGGGCTTTATTCCTCCCCCCGCTCCCTTCCCCCCCTTTTTCTTTTTCCCCCCCTCAACCTTTTAATAAAGCTCCTTCCAAACCGCGACGGAGAGCAGACCTTCCACTCCGGAATTCGCTAATTCCTTCACCCTCCTCCTAGTCCGGAGAGGCACAAACAAATGACAAAGGCGGGGAGCCGGGCTTTATTTAGCCACCCGCAGCCACTTAACCGGCCTTTCATTTCACGTCTCCCATCAGCTCGGCGGAGGCACGGACAGGACGGGCGGCCGACGGCTCCCCACGGGTGCCGGCCCGCTGCCTCCCCTCGCCCCAAAGGCGGCCCCAAAGGCGCTCGGGGGGACGGTGCGAGGCTGGTTTTCGCCAAACCCCCGGGGAAGGAGAGAGCCGTGCCAGGTCTCGCTGCTGGCTGTCTCCGAGAAGAGCCACCGGGCTCACGGCCGGGGAGCAGCGGGGTCCCGGCCCCGCTCGGGGCCAGGCTGGGCTCGGACCCTCCTTCCCCTTCTCTCCTCGGCCCCAAGAGAAGGCGGAGGGCCTCGCTGAGAAGCCGCCGCGCCTTATTTCCCAGCCTGCTTCCCTACCTCCAGAAAACTCCAACCAAAACAAAATAATAATAACAACCACACTAGGTTTTTTTTCCCCCGAGGCCGTGCCTGGGACGCCGAGCCGAGGGGCCATCCCGGGGGCCGCCCGGGCTCCTCCGGGGCTGCAGGCGCCGATGGGGCCGAGCCGAGCCGAGCCGAGCCCGCTCCCCTCGGGACGGTCCCCCCGAGCAAACGGAGCTGAACCGGCAACAAAAGAGGAGGGGGAGAAGGGAGGGGGATTATCCGGGCGGGTCTGGCCCCCGCCACAGCCGGTTTTTGGGCAGCGCAGCTCTGCCTCCTCTCCCGAGGCAGGCGGGCTCCTTTCCACCCAGGGCGGCTTTTCCCTCAATCACCCCTCGCTTGCCACCCGGTTCTGGGACCCCCGCAGGCATCTCCCCCTCCTCCCAGAACACTGAGGCGACGCGGGCTCGTCTCGGGGTGTGTGCCCACCCCACCACCCCCTCCCCGCTCTTTTTCGGTCCTCGCTGTCCCCCGTCCCTCCCGTGAGAGCCCCGGCGGGGTTTTACCTTCGGGGAAGACGGCTCGCATTTTCAGGTAGCTGGTGGTGAGGCGGATGATGGACGCCTTGTCCAGCTGGGAGGTGATGGCCGAGGGCAAGGGCAGGAGTTTGGCCAGTTCGTAGAATTCTCCATTTTCTTTTTCCCGTCTAGTCTTTGCCGCGTTCTTGGATTTTTCCTTCATCGCGACTACTGCAAGGCGAGGATGTCACTGGCATATTAGACCCGATTCCTCCGAGTTGCAGGGGGCATGGATTTCGGCGTCAGAGTTAGTGTTTTCGTTTGAGGAAGGGAGAGAGCTCACCCAAATCAAATAAAATCAAATAATTATAGTAATAGTAATAATAATAAAGGGAGAGGGGGAATAAAAAGACAAAAAGGGGAGGGGAAAAAAAAAAAAAAAAGCCAAACCAACCAAACAAAAACAACACCAACAGAAATGGTGCGTGGAGGGGGGAGGCGATCTCTGAGCCACAACCGGGATAGGAAAGCCGCTCGGAGAAGGCAGTTCTGCTCTGACCCTGCAACAGCGAGAGCTTCGAAACCCAGACAGAAAGACCCACGCGAATCTCCGTCCTCTGCCTGCAGCTGGGAATCGGATCTTCTCCTCAACGGGGAGCAAATCACTGGGTTCCGTTCACTGAAGGATTTCTTCTACTCAATCCTTCCCCGTCCAAAAATAATAATTAAAAGAAATATATATATATTAAAAGTAGAGCGTCCATGCAAGAAATCATTGAGCTAAGCAGGCTGAACTTTTTTTGGACATTTTGTCTCTTAAAAAAAAAAAAAAAAAAAAAAAAGAAAGAAAGAAAGAAAACGGAAGGACCGCGCTGCTCGTTGAACGAAGTGCAAAATTATCTGGTCCCGGAGCCTGCGATGCCGAGGAGACGACGAGCCCCTCGCTAAGCGAAAGTCAAAGGCGGTGCGGAGGGAGCTGATGGCTGGAGCGTTCCGAAATCACGAGCTCGCATTTCCCTCGGACGCTTCCCTCTCGGCGGGCTGGTCCTGCGGCCGAAGGGCGCTTCCCCCGGGCCCGAGGGGCTCCTCAAGCGCCGGGGCTCGGGGGCTCCGAGCCCCGCGGGCGGCGGGGCCGGGCGGGCGGCGGGTTGGCGGGCACGGGGGGCTGCGGGGCTGCTCCTGCCGCTCCGGCCGCTGCGCCCAGCTCCAAATGTGGTTCTCATGCGGAGTCAAATTAAAGGATCCGTTTTCCTCGGGACCAGTGCCACTTCAGCGTTGTCTCTTTCCAAACAAGTCCGAGCGCTGGCAAAGGCGCGGGGTTGATTTTGTTGCTTTTATTTATTGTTGCCTTTTTTTTTTTCCTCCTTTTTCCTCCTTTTAAAGAAAAAGAATTTGCAAAATCAGGAATAGTTTCTTTTTTCTTTTTTTTTTTTCCCCTTTTTTTTTTTATTCGTCACTTATTTAAAGAGCAAAGCGGTGGCTCTTTGGCGTAGACATGCCTTTCAAAAGCAAGGGGAGGGTTTGTTACATTCACCTCCCGCAAGGAGCAGCGATCCTCACCATACGGCAAGGATCGAAGGTAAAATTCCCCTCCTCTCGGAAATCATAGCTGCCACGCTCCTCGCCTGAAAGCACCGATATCTCCACTTTTTTTTTTTCTCCTCTTTTCTTTCTTTGCCTTTTTTATTTATTTATTTATTTTCCAGGGGCAGAAGCAGCTCTGAAGTGGACCTCTCGGTTAATTCTTTAGCAAAGGCTGCGGAAAGCCAGGAGAGCCTCAAGAGGGGAGGGGATAATGCATCCGTGACGTGTCCTCCCGCGCAGCGCCCTCCGAGGGACCCAAATGCAGAGGAGCCAGAAAAGAGCCGCAATTAGCACTTGCGATGGGCCGGGGGGCCGGGCCGGGGGGAGCCGGGGGCGGAGGCCCTTTGCTGTGGCAGCCCGAGCCCGCTCCCCCCGAGCTCCGTGAGCGGCGGCGGAGCCCCAGGACCCCTTGCCCCGTACCCTGCCCTCGCTTGGTGCACTGACCGTGACCCTGCGGCGCCGAGGGGGCCCCTCGAACCCTCCCCGGGTGTGTGTGGGACCCCCTTCCCAGACCCACGGCAGCGCCATGAAGTCACCCCAAGCCCTTTCCCCCGTTCTTTTGGCTCTGGTTAAAACGTACCTGCTCACCCACAGGTATGCGTGGCTCCTCTGTTCACAAACACGTATATCCCGCGCTCATTTATACTATATATGCACATTTTGCATACACATTATACGCGTGCGTTAAGTATGGATATATATAAATATATATAAATATATGCACAGGAGAACATGCACAGACGCGCATACACACGCATACATACCTAAACACACGCATATATATTTGCACATACACATATATATTTACACACACACGTATTTTTTATTTATATATTTACACGTGGCCCCTCGGACATGCGGTGGAAGGGGGGTCGAGCTCCGGGGGAGGCGGTGGGCGCCAGCCGCTGCTCCTCAGCCCCCGACGTGACCTCCGCGCTGCCCGGCGGGCCGCCGGTGACCGGGGCTTAACCCCGGAGCTGCCGAAACAGCTCTCGGGGGGACGGTGAAGCAAATCCCGGAGAGCCCAGGCTTTGCCGGGGCCCCCCGAGCCCCCTCCGTCCAGGCGGCCCCGCGGAGCTCCCGGGGCTATAACCGCAGGGCTCGGGGCCACCTTGGCAGGAGTTGTCACAGAGCGATGCCCGGTGTCCCCTCGCCGCCAGAGTCATGTCCTGAGTGGCGGAATTAACCCCAGCCTGGGCAGGACTGAGCCGGGCTTTGACACGGCCCCGACCCGATGGGAGCCCTTCGCGCTCCGGGGGCATCTCGGCGCTGCTGAGGGGGACACACACCAACGCTTGCGTGTCCCTGTCCCACTCCACGGGGCACACACACTCATCCCAGGGGGAACAGACCCTACCCGCGCCCCTCGCAATACCCTGGGACACGCGTGGCTCCAGCATCCACCGTGCGGGGGGAGCAGGGATGAGACCGGGGATTAAAGCAGGGAGGAAAGGAGAGAAGGAGGGAGCAGCAGAGCGTCGGGCGAGACGCGGCTCCACAACCTCGGACACAGGGAGGGTGCCCAGGGGGATGGGATCGCCCGTTTGCAAAGCACAATGCGCCCGTCCTTAATATTAATCCCCGGGAGAGGCCTGGCCGGCGGGCGAGTGTGTTTGCTTAAGCTCGCCCGCCCCTCCGTAATTATCCTATTACACCAGAAAGGGCCCGGCCCGGCGGTGCCGAGGGAAAGGCCACGCTCTTTAACCTCCCCGCCGCCGGCACCCCTGCCCCGGCTCTCCCCGTCTGGGCCACCGCTCCCCGGGGGATGGCGAGCAGGGAGATTCCGTCACCTTCTGCCTTCCCGGCTTGAAATGTGGGGCAAGGAGAGGGTGAGCGGCTCCCCGACGGGCCCTGCCCGTCCGGCCTCTTGCCCCGTCCCAAACCCGTCCCCTCCTGGCTCAGGTACCCGGTTTCGTCCCTCGGCTGACGCGGCTTTTGTAGGGAGGACCGCGGGCACCGGGAACGGGCTCCCTGCCCCGCCGTCCTGGCTGGGATTTGGGCTCGAGCTGGTTCCAGGTCAAGGAAACCTGAGCGAAACCCTTGCACCGGGGCGATGTGACCCGTTCTACCCTCCTGCACTGCCCTTTTCACCCGCAAAATAGGAACAACCCCCTACCCCTCTCTCGGGGGTAACCTCTCTCCTGGGCACTCTTGGAGCAGGTTTGGCGACGGCAGATGTAGCCGGCGATTAAACCCGCCGCTGTATTTTTCTTTTTACGGAAGCGTGTTCCGGCTGAGACTTTTCGCCGAGCAAAACAAACCTAAATTAATCTAGGGGGAAAAAAAACCCCCCAAAACCAAAAACAAAACACCCGTCGAAAAGAAACTTCAGCCTTACGGGGAAATTCTCAAAATTCAATGCAACCTCCGCCCACCGCCGAAACTGGACGCGTTAACAGAGGTAAAAAAATATATACGGGGGAAATATATTATGTATATATTATATATATGTGTGTGTGTGTATGGAAAATTAGCTGTATATCAAGGCAGGTCCTAAGGGGTCCGGTTCAACGAGCTCTGCGATCGCTGACCCCGAGAAGGAAACTATATGGGACATTTCTGCGTCCTGTAAACAAAATATAGGACGAGCGACTGTGTGGCAAAGGAAAGCGCGAGGGGAGCATGTTCCGTTTCTAACAAATTACGGTGGTTTGGAGAAAGGGCAGGTTTGGGAATGTTTTCAACATAATCCCGGCAGAAAAAAAGAAAAATCACGTTGCTACAAGGGTGGCCCGAACCTATGGAGGTGGATTCGCGGTGTGGAACTCGGTGAGTCGGAGGTGGCTGCAGGGACCTTCCGGCAAGGGCTTCCCCCCGACCGTTTGAATAAAAAACTCCACGCCAGGGACGAAAATAAATAAGGAGAATAAATAAAACAATAAATTATTTTAATATTCGGACCGTGTTTTCGCTGGTGCGTTATTGCTGAACGATAAATCGGGCGCGAGCAAACCCCGCTGTCATTTAACAGCATTTCCCCCTGGGTCGGAGGGGAAAACTTCACCGGGTGGGAGATAAAGGGAAAGCGTTTCTGTCCCAGGTGAGCTGCGTTGCGGGGGAACATTTCTCCTTCCTTTCCCTTCCCAGGGAGGGAAATAGAGAGGAAAACGAGGCGTGAGAATAACTCCCCAGCACCCCCAAAACAAACTTCTCGAGCACCGCCCGGCACCCCACGCTGGGCACAAGCCCGAGGGGCTTATTCTGCGCCGGTGCGCGGAGGGGAATTCCCTAAGGAAAGGCTCAAAGAGAGGGGGTACAACGCCTCGGGTTTTTTTTGGCAATGCTACCAACAGCACCTTGCGGGACGGGGGGAACACGCGGGACTCCCGTCCCGTGGGCAGCGGGGTGGACAGCGGGGTGGACAGCGGTGGGCAGTGGGGTGGACAGCGGGTGGACAGCCCCCCAGAGCTCCCTCCCCTTCTCTCTGCCCCGCCGGGAACCGGGAGGAATTCCAGGGGCGCTCCCGCCGAGCTTTGCAGGACTCGTTTCGGTGGGGAGGAAGGGCCCAGGCAGGGGCAGGCGGCGGGACGGGGGTTGCCGTCCACTCGTGTCCGTGGAAGTTGTCCCGGAGTGCCCCACTTCCAACTCTTGGCACAAACACCTTTGCAGGGCCGCGGCTTTGGCGTTCCCGGAGTTTTCCTGCTTTTCTCGCTCTGCTGATCTCGTACCATAAAACACCCGCGGTGGTGGATGGGTCGAGGCTCGGGGAACCGGGGCTGCGGGGCCGGTCTTAACTTTAGTCTGATGTGCTTAGCTGAAGTATTAACTGTGAGAAATACCACCGAGCTCCACAGGAAAGAAAAACATCATCAGATATTTTAACATTCGCAGCCTG